AGGGGAACAGGATTTTTCAGTAATCAAAGGAACACATCTTAGTCCTTGTTACTTTTTATGCCTTGTTGATAGTGATAAGAGTCGACTTTGTCCACCGAGGATGATCTTGAAACAAGGAAAAATGAGTTAGTTAGTCTTCATATATGTGATTCCTAATCTTCTATTCGTTGTTCAGTGTGCAACCGAACTTTTTGTCAGTGCGAACCTCAGCCTAAGATAAGTTTTAAAAACAAACTAACAACCTGACGTTTGTCAGAAAACAACCAGACCCGATCTTGATACCCGATCCAGGTTGGAACTTAATAATAATAAACAAATTCGCTATTAGTGTTCTAAATGAACTTCCACACTTATGAATTGAGAGCTTTCGATGTCAATACCAATGCATGAATTTCTATATTGTGTGGTAAGCACAATAATACCTAATAATACTCAAAGACCAGAAGGTCCCGAAGAAATGTGCTCAACTTTTTGTCTCAGCTCTGGTACTCTCTTCGGTCCCAAGCTGATCGATGCACCCCTCGAAACATTGGAAAATCCACCAGCTCCTCATTTTATGTGTCAAAGAAATGCACTGAACGAAAACATCCGCAATACTTCGACTGATTATTGTATTGCTCGAGCCTTTTAACAATATGCTGACGAATTTTGGATGATTTCCTTATGGTTAAATTCGTCATCCACTGATGAGCATCCATATGACTGTCTTCCAAATAAAGGATGATATTTATTTGAAAATTGGCTGTAAAACATACTAGGCTCAGAAGACAACAATTTAAGGATAGGATGACTCGCAAATGCTTAAGATTAGATTATTAAATTCGATTGTTTACATTTTCATATTGAATAGCCATGAACAGCCATTAATCATGGATAAAAAATGTAGTGTTGGAAACTTCATCCACCATGAAATAGATAAAGATTTCAACGCTTTACCAGTGTTTGTACCACCTCTGATAGCGATGGCAGTGCTTCCACCTCGTTTGTTTGCTCAGAGCAGCAAATGACGTTCGATAGAATTATTTACATCATCGTTTTGAATGATTTGCGTTAAGGGGCTGACCAATACCAAATGCATTTCCATTTCAGATGACTATCATTCTGCAGAGAGCATTACGCATTCCAACTGAAGGTCCTGTCCCTTTTCATAACAATGTTCATCCTGTATTCGAGAGGAAAATCATCTGATTTCAAAACAACCACCATCCAGTTGCTGCTATTATTCGAAAAGGCGGTGGATTGGTACAGTATAGTATAATTTACATTTATTAATTAATTCACATTATAATTACATTCTGAGATCTTTCTTTGATAGTTCAAGAATTTTGCTAGTCATTGAAATGCTCGGATTAATAAACCGTTTCGACTGCCTAGCAATGAGAGTGTTGTTCCAATTGGTCTCCACTTTATTTTTTTCCCAGTTCTTGATCTTGGCTATCAGACATAATGCAGATATTCGAATGTCTATAATTTCTACGCAAGCAAATTTTAGAACTTTAAAGAATTGCTTGGACTTCTGCTTGGAACACAGCAGGCCAGTAGCCCTTAGATATTGAGATATTGATTCCTGGACCTGTTACCCCTGCTCCTACACGATGGAATTTGGTCTGAAACTCAAGTGGAATACTAATGTTAATACTTCCGACGTCGTCGCAGCCCACATCTACCTGGAGCTATTCCTAAAAATCTCCTCTTCCTTGTCTCTACAGCTGCCACTGCTTGTAATTAGAAAGGCAGGCAATGAATTTAGAAGCTCTAAAATGCCGGAAATGCAACGAGTGACACAGATACTGACGACATTAAACAAATCAAGCTATCAAAAAATGTGTAGTGCACTACTGATTTGTGGAGTAGTGTTAAGCTTAAATAAGGCTTGTTCAATCTTTAGATCAGCTAACTTATTGCGGTTGGATTATGGGGATACAATTCGCTTCATGCATTACTAATCAACTACCCAACTTTTCCATCATTAGTAGCTGAACAAAAAGCTACAGATACAACAACAAGCAGAAGCTAGCAGAAGAGTATTGAAGAGCTTTACTCAACTTTTTCACAACCATTATTCAATTTATCAGTCGCACTGAATAACAGCAGCCAATAAACGCTAGTGTCACTTGTATGCAAATATTAATCAACTTTCAATTTGTAGCTGCAAAACAAAGCTAATAAAGTAAATTTATTACTCAGAGTGGTTGGTTGTGTAGAAGCCATCAATCTACACAACCAACCACTCTTGTTGAATAACATAAATATCAAAAGTGCTTTTTCGACAACTAAACAACCTGTACTCAGCTAATCAACTGTTAGCGAATTCGTTTATTATCGGGGTTAACACCAGTTCCAACCCAGTGCGAAACCGAACTTTTTGTCAGTGTGAACCTCAACCTGAGCTAGGTTTTAAAAACAAACGAGCAAACTGACGCTTGTCAGAAAACAAGCAGACCCAATCTTGATACCCGTTCCAGGTTGGAACTGAATAATAAACGAATTCGCTATGTGTTAGCGCTACTTTGGAAGCATTTTTACAGTCAACTAGGTTTATTTTTAGACGTTTGCAGTTTTACAGCTTTTACTCCGCTCCTTTACAAAGCTGAAGTAACTAGTCGATATAAGAGATTCATGTGCACTATTATAAAGCCTCTAATCAGCGATATTGTTGTAGAAAGTCATGTAGATTTGTTTACGTCAGTTCAAAGTGTTGCCGTAGCGAAGTTAGTAGTGTCGAGGTTTGCCAATGCGGTCGGTCCAGGTTCCGGTGCAGGGTAATAATTTGGTGGTGTGCTTGTAACTAACTGCGATTAATTTGATTCTCGCAGCAAAATAAACTCAAGCAATTCCTCCAACAAAAAAGCATAAACAATATTTAACCCGGCTTCAAGAGAAAGCTGTTTAGTGATTATGGAATAACCGGGAAAAGGTTGAATAATAAGCGTCTTTCAAGGTCGCACATAACTAAACAGCAGGATAACAGCTGTTTAGAAGCGTAAATGGAAATGCAATAAGAGTTTGTTCCAACCGTCCCAATAGCCATAAGTAGCTGACTAAGTTCACCAGATTTGCTTGTTAGTTTGCGTTAGTCGAGCAGTCCATTGTAGAACGTTTGGGAATCGATGATGGCAAACCACTTCCATTGTGTCTAACTTGGACCAGCAACGTAACTAGGCAGGAACCAAACTCTCAGCGCGTTTGCCTAACTGTTTCTGGTTCTGGTAAAAGCGAACGGTTTTCCTTGATAGATACAAGAACGGTCGCTAGTCTGAACCTTCCGAAGCAGACGTTGAAGTATGCGGAGTTGGCACGGCAACACACACACTTAGGAAACTTGCCTATCAGCAGCTACGATGCGGTTTCTCTCGGAATATTGATTGGCTCGAACAATGCTAGTTTGATTACGACGCTGAAGCTACGGGGCGGTTCAACTAGGCGATCCTTTGGCCGCTAAGACGCGACTGGGTTGGTCAATTTATGGATATGCAGGGGACCAAAGGAAGGCAGCAAATTTCACATTTGCGAGCGCCAAGAGGGGACAACAGATCGAAAGTTACATGATCTTGTTGAGCGCCACTTTACGGTCGAAAGCGGGGGGATTTTCGGCAGATAAAGTCCCAGAATCTGCGGAAGACAAGCGTGCCCGTCGGATTTTGGAGGAAACCACAAAACGGACTACGAAAGGGTTTGAGACAGGACTGTTATGGCGACACGACTGCGTGGAATTCCCTAATAGTTACCCGATGGCCATACGCCGCATGGAATGCTTTGAGCGAAGAATGAGTACAGATTCTGTGCTGCGAGACAGTGTCCATCGGCAGATCGAGGAGTATTTGGAAAGTGGTTATATTCACGAGCTAACACCAGAGGAAATGAAGTCGGCCGATCCTGACAAGGTTTGGTACCTTCCACTGGGAGTCGTGAGAAATCCTAAGAAGCCGGGACTAATCAGGCTGGTTTGGGATGCAGCTGCGAAGGTAGGAGGTGTGTCGTTAAATACGATGTTACGCAAGGGACCAGACATGTTGGTTTGGAGATTTGAGACATATGTTTCATCAATTCATGATACGGCGACAAAATGTACACAGTCAGTGATTCCTATTCCGCAAAGACCCGACTGGGCGTGTCAAAGTATACGTGATGGATGTAGGGAGTTTCGGTGCTACGTGCTCTCCGAGTCAAGCGCAGTTTATCAAGAACCTGAACGCGAAGGAGCACGAATCAGCGGAAGCAATCTTGAAGAAGCACTACGTAGACGACTATTTAGATAGCTTCGACACGGAAGAGCAAGCGATCAAGGTTGCACTTGAGGTGAAGGAGGTACACGCACGCGGTGGATTCGAGATCCGGAATTGGCACTCGAACTCGTCTACACTTCTGGAACGGGTCGGGGAACCAAAACAAAAACAACCGAAATCGATAACCATTGATACGAAGAATCATGCGGAACGAGTTCTTGGCCTTCTTTGGTTACCTGAAGAAGATATTTTAGCTTTCGCCACCGACGTGCAGCTTGACGACATTACTCCAACGAAGCGGAACATATTGCGATGTGTCATGAGTCTCTTCGATTCCCAAGGTATGTTGTCGCACATTACTATTCAGGGACGGATGATTATCCAAGACACCTGGCGCAGCAAACCAAGTGGGACGAAGAGGTGACTGAAGCGATTCAATCTCGCTGGCGTAGGTGGATCGCACTGTTTGAAAGGGTTAGCCAAATCCGACTTCCCAGGGCCTACTTTCCAGGATTCTCTGCCGCAGTGGAGCTACATGTTTTCACGGACGCTAGTGAGGAGGCATAGTGATGGCTAAAGCGAAAGTGGCACCACTGAAGGCTGTATCGGTTCCTCGTCTGGAGCTTATGGGTGCGCTATTGGGAGCAAGGTTAGCAACGTTGGCTTGGATTCAGTCGCAACATCACCGGTACCGACAGTTCGTGGCCTTCAGAGTGGGAGAGATCCTGAACTAGACGGAAGCAGCAGAGTGGAGATGGATTCCTACACAACATAATGTGGCAGATGAAGCCACTTAGTGGGGGAAGAGGTCCCAGAACCGACGTCCAGTCCCGTTGGTTCAAGGGTCCAGATTTCTTGTATCTACCAGAGTCAGAATGGCCGAAGAGAACGTCTATGAAACCGCTTGAGACCGACGAAGAGTTGCGGCCCTGCTTGGTACATCATCAGCGAATTGTCGAAGACGTCATCAGCTGGACGAACTTTTCCAAATGGGAACGCTTGTTGAGAGCAATCGAATATACTCATCGTTACGTAGCAAACTGCCGCCGTCGATCCAAGGAGCAACCGCCAATCTCCGGTTGCTTAACGAAGGAAGAACTACAGCGAGCGGAGAACAGTCTCTGGTTCATAACACAGGCAACATCGTATCCAGAAGAAGTAGCGGTGCTGAAGCTGGCACAGAAGAATCCGAAGAAGCACATCGAGAGAACAAACCCGATTTACAAGCTGTCTCCTTTCTTGGACGAGCTGGGTGTAATGCGGGTTGACAGTCGCATCGGAGCAGTCCCGTACGTCACGCATAATTTCAAGTTCCCTGTTATCCTGCCACGCAAGCATCCGATAACCACGCTACTTGTAGATTGGTATCATCGCAAATATCTACACGCCAACCAGGAGACCGTTCACAACGAAGTTCGTCAGCGTTTTCATGTTTCCAGCCTGCGTGTGGTAGTTCGTCGAGTAGCGAAAGAATGCCAAGCGTGCAAAATCAGCAAGGCGGTGCCAACTACCCCAGAGATGGCCCCGCTACCAGCTGCTCGGTTAGCAGCCACAGTGCATCCGTTCTCCTATGTTGGGTTGGATTATTTCGGTCCCATGAAGGTCAGAGTTGGCCGTAGCTGCGTCAAACGGTGGATCGCTTTGTTCACGAGCATGACGGTGAGAGCAGTCCACTTAGAAGTTGTCCACTCGCTATCCACAGAGTCTTGCAAGATGGCCGTTCGCCGGTTCGTAGCGCGCTGGGGGTCACCGGTCGAAGTATACTCAGATAATGAAAAAAAAAAAAAATTCAGGGAGCAAGCCGTGAATTACGAGAGGAGATTGTAGCCATAGGGAAACAAATCCAAGAAACGTTTACGAACTCGATCACCAAGTGGATGTTCAATCCGCCATCTGCTCCGCACTTCGGTGGTGCGTGGGTTCACCTCGTAAGATCGCTGTGCAATGACTGGCATCCAGACGACGAAACATTGCTAACTGTCGTAGCAGAAGCGGAAGCAATTGTGAACTCTAGATCTCTCACATTTATCCCTCTGGAGAACTGTAATCAAGAAGCGCTAACACCAAACCACTTCATCAGTAAGAGTTCGGAGCAGTCCAACCTCCAAGAGCACTAACTAAACCGACGAAGATAATCCGTACGAACTGGAACATGACCAGACAACTCGTGGACCAGTTCTGGAGGCGGTGGGTCATGGAATACCTTCCATCGATCGCCAAAAGGACCAAGTGGTTTGGCGAAGCAGAAGCAGTCAAGGTGAACGATCTGGTGCTAATAGTGAACGAGAACCAGCGCAACGGGTGGACCAGAGGACGCGTCCTGTCAGTGATAAATAAAGGGAAGTGACGGACGTATCCGTCAAGCATTGGTACAGTCTACAGGTGGAGTGTTCCGGCGTTCAGTCTCAAAACTGGCAGTGCTGAAGGTGCAAGCAGATGGTAACGTTGACTCGGTAGCGGAACTTTAAGTACGTTACGGGTCGGGGGATGATACCAATACCGGCAGCACTGTTGGTAAGGCCTACGCGAAACCTGCGGTCGGCACATCTTTTCTACTGGGATCAGACAGAAACGTCATCGGTTGTCAGTCATCACGGCCACGGGAACAAAACGTCAGAACAAAAGAAGAAAAAATTCGGCATACAACAACAGTGCGATTCTCTATCGAGGTCCGAAAGATCTACCCAACAGAGGTTGAGTAAAGGTTGCCTCATATCGTTAAATATTTGAATACATTTTGAGGCTGTATCAATGAAATGAGTAAAGCGTTTACATTGTGAAAATTGTTAGTTGGGTATATATTCAGCCTGATGTTAATCAGCTTTGTACACCTTAAATCAACCAATAATCAGCTTGGTTGCTTACTGTTCAGCTTGAACTGTTACTAAGGTAGTCCGCCTTCTCGTGATTCCTAAACTGAATCAAAATGGATCTCCCAAATGCAGCATAATGTCTTTAATCCAAATAGCCATGGTAACATGTGATCCCAATTGCTTGCCGGTGATCAATATGAAATGGTCCGAACTGTGATAGAGCTTGTTTGAATGGCCTACTCCCTGCGCTTGGAATTGACGATTTTTTGTCAATATTCAGCACCGTCTCGTTGAAGAAAAAGCTTTTCACGACAAACGCAGTACACTTCTCTTATTTATCCTTCTCTTGTTTATCTAACGGTGTCAGCACTTACCAAATTCGATTCAATCAAAAGTTTAGAATTAAGAATTTAGAAAATAGTTAAAATTTATTAAAATCCCAAAAGAAAAACTGAAGCAAAACCAAAACACGTCAGTTTTTCAGCGCGGCCTACTTTTTTTTTCCTTAGTCAGCTCTAAAAGCTGTGGAAATTACCTTTAAGATTCTTTAGCATGGTGCACGTTAAAACATGTATGTGGAAATTAATTAGTGTTACCAATTCAACAATGTAAAAAAAGCTTCATAGGAGACCGTGCTGTCGGATTATTGAGTGTCGTTGGCTTAACGATAGCCGGATAAGTGGGTGGGTACTTGCAGTGAAATAAGAGGTCAACTCAATTCCAAATCACTCTTCATTACATTCCTGCGGGACAGAACACATGTGAATCAGCGTAAATGTCGGTTGTACCCTCGAACGGAAGTAGATTTAATTTCTAAATCTTTCTAATACTGCCTAAGGTTCTGTATGGGAACCGTTATAGTAGGGAAACATAGAAATTGTTCCGTCCTACCTACCAGTGAAACCGAGAGTGCGCTTGCCAACTTCAGTATGGGAGCAACATATCCATCTCATTCCGCCCTGTGCCTAGAAGTTGGACAAAAAGAACTATCATAGCGAGAAACCACTCTGCCCTAGCAGCATAAGGAGTGGAATGACCTCTTCATCCCGGACCACTCCCTTCCAAGGTTTGTCTCGCTTGTACCGGTTCCACGAATGAGCATGTGTGTTGGATCGATTCAGCACCGATTCGGCCTCGCGCATGGGGACTGGAATGTGCACTGTTGCACACAGTTACTGCGACCATAGGGCGCATAGTTTTCCACCATCGGAGCATATGTGTGTCTGGGCACAAGACGGGATAGATATGTGTATACTTTTCTTGTCCCACACTCCCTACCTGGTTCTTCGGCAGGATGATATTAGAGGAACCGTCGTCCACCGTTCGGTCCACAGTCGGTCTAGTTTTCTATGTTTACTCACTTGCTCCGTGAGATCCTGCTCTCCTACTGTGATTGCTCAACCCGTTTTCTAATTCGGCATTAGAAAATATGCTGTTGCTGTAGCGGTTCCGTTCCGTTCCGTGTGCTAATGCTGCTACACAGCTGCTGCTCGTCCAAGGTGGTCCTTTTTAGCCAATACAAGTTTCGATTTGAAGCGCAGTTTCGCAACGAGGACGAACTCACTCACTAACATATGAGCGTATGCGACTTTCTAATCCAGATCAGGAAGATGGTCCCTCATCCCGCCACATATGCCATCTCGGATGGGACTCCACATTCTGTGGGGAAATATCACATGTTAGAATCGTGCACCCCTGCAAGTATGCCATCCTAGTAAGAAATACACATGTTCAGGTTTCTAACTCACATATCATCACACATATGTGCACATGAACGGGGGACCCCGTCACATGTGTGTGCATTAGAAGCTCCCCAGCTCGCGTGGATCCCACGGAAAGCAAGCCCGTAAACAATCAAGGATAAGCGTTCAAATATCTGTTCAAAAGTTTTTGCCTCCCATATCCAACGCATTTAGCATAACAAAGTGTTAGTCAACGTGTGCGGGATAGAAATCTAAGCATCGGCCGTACGGGATATGGGGTGCTGCGAAGTAGGATTTTTTCCCTGGCACCTTCGACGCATCGAGGACAAACAAACATTTTTCTAACAAAAAACAACTCCCAAGCAATAGAGCAACATAACTCTCGAACGCTGGAAACAAGTTGGTTGCATTGGACTTCGGATCCAAGTGCGAGTCTAGGTGGCATCCCACCAGAGCATAGAAAAGACCTCCTCCTGATAGTGGTCCGGTGGCGAATTAGCTGACGGCCTGGCACTGGAAACATCTAAGTTCACATACCAGGGTAGCTTCGTGGTCGAGCAGGTCCGGCCCGGACAGAGAGGAGCGTTCGTTCGTCATTGCGTTGCCAGCATCGGCATTAGATGTCAATGAACAACCACCCCCTTTGGAGTGCACTGCATTTTGCTTCTCGATGGAAAGAGGGCAACATACGAGTGTTTATTTTCGCACCGAAGGAGAGGGGGAACGTATTTAGGGCAATGTGTCGTATTGTTTGCTATTATAATAACAAATTAAAATAAATAAATAAACAAGTATTATGATACACAAACTTATTTTCGAACAGGAGCGAAGAGCGGTGGCGAAGGTCTTGTGTTTACGTTCGCGTTTTCGGGGTGCATAGCATCATCTTCATTCATGCTGTTGGAGTTTCGGTTGGAGTGAGCACGTGAGCCATGCTTGCTTGTATGTCTATAGAGAGTGGCTCTGTCGTCGGTGCCTGGTGGTGTTGCTATAGGTCAGTGACATGCGCGTTAGCAGCCCGTTTGATAGTGGTGATGAGGGCTGGTGTTTTCAAAATTATGGATTGAGAAGTTCAATAAATTAATTTTTTAAACTGAATGATCATGATGAAAACATGAAACGAATAACCAAGGGCCGCCCACGCAAACCAACAACATCATCGGGAATGGGAAAGTTTCCCCTACCCGATGATGTCGATGGTTTGCATTGGTGTCATATGGGTGGCGAGAGACGGGCATAAGAAGGTTTCCAGTCCGCATCGTGCTCTCTTTCCGTGCAGATCTATTTGCTTTTTGCTGAAGGAAGCGTTACTGCTACCTTTAGCTACAACAAACTTAAACTGCACTTATCAGTGTTAAATATTACTTGTAAATTTTCTACCATGTTTGACTCTTATTCCTCTTCGGTCCTTGTTTGTATCATACCCGAGGGAATCCTGCTTGGATATCGATTTGGAAAAAAAAAATCTGAAATGGATTGTTTTAGTAATCTGCTTGAAAGTCGATTTGGAGAAACGTTTTTCTGTCGCCAACGCAAAAGAAAAGGGGAATCTCTTGATCACCCTTCTGATGAAATTCAATTTTAGCGGAGGCATATTTAGGTCTATCTATCGCGAACAAATCTAGATAGAGCTGGAATTAGGGCGTAACAGCTCTCCTTGGCAAATCGACATCACCATAGAGTAGGGGAAGACTTCCCCTACTCGATGGATATGTTGGTTTGTGTAGGCGTGCCTTGAATTCCTAGAAATCAACGAGAGAACTCATTGTTTACAAAGGCTGTTACGCCCTAATTGCAGCTCTATCTAGAAATGTTGATTACGCAATTGACGATACGGTACATAACGATTGAAGACTGTACTGGAAAAAAATGCAACAAACAAAAAAGATCACCAAAAATTAATTTTAAGTCAGATATTTTTGAAACTCTCAGGGAATAAATAAACACATATTAGCTATGTTTTTGCAAAGTTGGTTTAATCAATCTCTTCTCCTAGGCTTAATGCCCGCCCCTTGGATTTAACGCTGCTTATCAAATCCTGTGCAACACTTGCATCATCTTTCTTACACACTTTCATCCAATCCTTGTCGTTTTTGAAGACCTTCCCTGTTTTCCGGAGCTTGCCCTTCATAATCGCCCACAATTATTCTATTAGGCGAAGTTCTGGCGAGTTTGGCAGATTTGCCTCCTTCGGCACAAAAACAACATCGTTGGCTTCGTACCACTCCATCACCGGTTTTACATAATGGAACGATGCCAGATCCGGCCAAAACAGAGTGTCACCTTCGTGGGACCGGAGGAAGGACAGCAGGCGCTTCTGAAGGCATTCTTTTTCATATATTAGGTCGATGATGGTGCCTGTCGTTATGTACGGCTTGCTGAATTTGTCGCACCCACAGATCGCCTGCCACAGCAAGAACTTCTTGGCAAATTTGTCGACCTTCTTCTTCCGAAACATCCAGGCAGGACTTGCCGATGAAAAACTTCAGGCCGGGGATCTTCTTGGCGTCCGCTTTAATGTACGTCTCGTCAACAATTCCCAAATCAGATCCATTTAAAAAAGGCATGTGTAAGCTCTGCTCTCCGGCAGCTTTGTATATA